TTTTTTTTTGTTATTTCTACATGTCAAGAAAAGTATCTAGAGATGGATCAACATCGATGACAACGATCTATAAATAAATACATGGCATGTATGTTATTGTATTACTTATATTAGATAAATATTATTGACAACAGGTGTATAAGAAGGATAATTTTCTATTTTTCTGACAGCCATGTCTGTCAAATGATTTCATTTTTTAATATAAAATGTTTTTCCTGTATTTTCAGTTCTTGGCATAGAGAAGACGTGGTTTTATATGTAATATTTTTTTTTCAAAATCTTATCAATAGAACAAGTGACGAAAGGATAAAAGTTGAGAATGGCTATGAAAATAACAGCAGTTATTTCAAATATATGAAGATGTCATTGTGTCATATATTGCAACATTTATACCGCTTAGCCTTGATTTATAACACTGTTATTTTTCTTCTTCTTGCTATCGATATGCACGCGATCATGTTTTTATACAGTAAAGAAACACCGTAAGATACTTTTCATTTATTTACGTTCTTCTCACAGGGATTTCTCTATGATGATGATGTTCATTTATGTATGTCTATTATAGTATGAATACATCTGATCTTTCATCATGTATACTTATATGTGAGTGTCGCGCTTGTACTTTTCATTGATATATATAGGTTTATTTACACACAAGAACTAACGCGACAAGTGTTGAATTGCTAGCCCTTATTATCAAGTGCATAGTACATATTTTCGTATACAAAAAAATTATAGACCATCGTTCGTCTAATTAAATCTTGCATGTATATATATATATTGTGTAAGTATTCCAAACAGCTGCTCATACAATGGCAATCAAATGAAACTTGATCTACTTTCGTCGATAGTTATACATACTATCAATATGTATCGTAAGTAACTCATTCAGACATAATATGTTTGAGTATACAATACTTATTTTTTCTCATTTACAATATGTTGTTCACTTCAATTCACTCATTCTGTTAATACTATTTAGCTACAGTTCATTTCATGATGAACTATTCACATTCTTTAAGTAAATTGTAGACTAAATATAAATATTTAATAGCTTTGGAAAAAAAATTACCTGATTATACTCTGTCATTTTAAATTTCATCTTCTTCTTCTTCGTATTTTAGATAGAATATAAGCAAATAAAAAAACAAATGTATAGTTATGATAATATACCGACTACATGGTTTAGATCCAATAGACGAGGACGAATACCTTATAATCCATCGCGTATGTCTCAACCAGTATCAAAAAGTTTCAATCGGATATCGGATTTTATTTTTCCGGATACAATTCATATACATATGTCACGTCCTCCTCAGCAACTATTCGATAATGAACGTTATGGACGAACAGATCATTATAATATACCTGCTTCAAATCGACCAAGATCATGCTATCAACCTGATTTAATTATTGTAGAACGTTTACCTGCTGATGAACTTGATAATATTGATTTACTCTATCATGAGCAACATTATCAAACAAATCGACAACTTCGACGTCGTTATTCATCAATTATTGATGATCGTCGAATGCCACCTAATGAAAAACCACCAACCGAAATACCGACTCGACCAGCAGCATTTCGTGAAAGAATTCGTGATAGACGAAAACGTCATACAACTGATAATGCATATCATTCAATGTTAAAATCAATGTTAGATTTAGATGAATTACAAGAATGTACAAATGATAAAGGTCCTAATTGTATCCTTTCATATAGAACAACTCTTGAACCAATTACCGATTCTGAATCAATGACATCTATACATCAGCAACCAGAACAACAAAAACAGCAACAGGAGCAGCAGCATCATGTTAACAATATTGCCCATTGTCGTGTACCAATCAATGGAACTGCAGCTTCTGTTATGAATGAATATGATCTTCCAAGACATCGACAATTTAGTTCAACAATAAGTAGTCGTGATTCAACAAGCGATACAGAGACTGTTGAAAGACATTCACTAACCACAATGAATTATAATCATAATTTACAAACTTCACCAGTAAGAAATAGATCATATGATAATATCATTTAAGATTATATATATATATGTATTATATTTAGCGTGTCAATGTATCAAATGTATGTCGAACGCCTTGGAAACGTCATACTTATCAATCTGATGGATTTTTTCCTATTCCTTCATCAATTACAGACACAAACAATCATAAAACAACGTCTTATTCGAATAATCTGACCACTTCATCGCCATTCGATAATATTAACAATCAATCATCATCGCCACGAGATGCAAATCATGTTTCTGTATGCGTCAATGATTTACATACAACGTTATTTATCGATGAAGATACACTAAATAATACTAAGACAACAATCAATAATACTAATAATAATGGAGACAAAGGTAATGATTTTATATTATAGATTTCAATTAGGTTTATGGATGAATTAGTGTAAGATATTTACCATTTTATTTCTTATTTAGCGGTTATAAAAACATTTATCGATCGAATTATCAAACGATTACAACATTTTAAACGTTCACTTGATAATGGATTAAGTACGAGTTCTCTATATCCTTAGATTTACCTATTGCATGTGCATGCCTTTACCGAGTGCAATATACTCTTTTTTTGTTTAACGAAAATTTGATGAAATATTCATATCACACAATTTTTTCTTTTGATATATTTCTTAGTCTCTGTACGAAAACGAAATACATTAACGAATGGATCGATTGTTACAACGAATCATCAATCACGTAGTGAAATGACTAAACGAAAAAGTGATATATATTCATCATTAATAAATGATGATGAAAATAAATATATTCGACCATATTTTTTAATTAAACCACAAACAGTATTAGTATTACCTAACGAAACAGGTAAATTCATAGAAATTTGTTTTTTGTCAAGAAGAAAAAAAATCTTGAATAATTATTTAGCTAAATTTAAATGTTGTTTTGGTGGTGAACCATTTCCAAATGTAATTTGGTCACATAATAATTCTCGTATATCAGATATATTAGCAACTAATAGTCATATGTCATCGAAATATCGAATACATAAATTACATGATATTTATTATTTGGATATTGATTCAATTAATTTTCGTGATAGTGGAGAAATAAAATGTACAATTACAAATCGAATGGGTCGTGAAGAAACAATTGTACAATTGTTAGTTGTTTGTAAGTGAATCGTGAAAAATTGTTTGTCATTTAGTTTATTATTTTTTTCAAAGGTTCACCGACTAATGCTATACCTTGTATTATACAACCACTTAATGATATGATTGTTATTGAAGGTCGTCCATTAACATTAACATGTAGTGTCAAAGGTTTGCAAGTGACAATTAATTGGTTTCATAATGGAAAAGTATTTATTCGTTTGCTTTTTTGTATTGAATGATGAACTTGTTTTTTTTCTAGTTGGTGTCATCAGGAACACAATCAAAAAATAATTATATTGAAGAAAATGCTATATTTACTCTTACTTGTGTATGTACTGAAAATTAAAATAAATAATTTTTTAAATGAAGGTTCATTTAGTGTATGAGAAATGATGCTGGTACTGTTGATTGTATTGTTAAAAATCGTTTTGGAGAAGCGAGAACAAGTTGTCGAATTGAAGTGGTCAATGATCCTGCATTTGACCGGTGAACAATACTATATAAAATATCAAGATTTAGAAAAAGCAATTTTTCATTTATTCAATTTATCTGTTTTTTCTCTTTCTCTCTTTATTTTCCTACTAGTCTAATATGTTACTTATATCATCATGTCTTTGTTGTTTTGTTGTATGGTAGTATTTCTCATTTGCTTTGCTTATATAAATCAATGGAAATTTAGTGAAAACTAATGGAAAGAAAATTATTAATCTATCAAATCTATCGGTGTGGGTGCGAATATATAGTCTATCTTTTACCCACCTTTTATCCAGAAATTTGCATGTATATTTTATATAACTGGCAAAGAGGCAAATCTTTCATATTGAAAAGTTATTTTGAAACGGACAGTATCTTTATTGTTTTATTCGATGTGTTATAAAATAATCTTGTATATTGGAAATTTGTCTATAAAACTAAACAGTTTTTATATAAAAGGTTTATTTATATGTCACTTTATTTCTAAATCAAATACGAAGGTTTGTATCATTTAGCTACATTGTTATGTGTCTCATAAGGAGTAAACAAAGTATATCCTAAATACCCTAGATATTAACATTCATTGTAATATTTCAATGAAAATAGTATTCGATAATGGTAATATTTAGTACCCACGCGAGCGGGGTAGTTTCGGAGGGTTGTACACTCCCTCATTAATTGCAAATTTTTCGTTTTTATTCAGCGACGGAACCAGATCTGGAACAAATTTTGTGTTTTTCTAAGAAATTTTGCTCGAAATACTTTTTTTACACCTTCCTCAATCTTAGACCCTTCGCGCGACCACCACCCCTATGATACATGAGAGAGCATGCTTTACTAAATAACATATGTGCAATTCTTAATAGGTTATAAAACAGTGGAAGAATATCAGGTATTTATAAATAATTTCATGACAAGTAATAAAAATAACCGTATTTTTTATAACAGTATTGATATGTTGTTTGAATCGTAAATTACTGTTTTTATGGTATTTCTACAATTATCATTCACGTGGTTTTTATGCTTTCATAATACTGTGCCATTTAATTTGTGTATAGAATGTATATAAATCAGTGCAGAGTTATTCATGGTAGCACTTTTTAACCTTCCTATTGATCAAAAAGCGCCATCTTACCCTTGATACCTTTCAAAATAACGTCACTTACATCACAGTTTATTTGTTACGAATATCTTCCAATTAAAATCGAACAGAACAAGACAAAATTTTGTTATACATTATTTATTGATTAATAATCATGAATAACAAAAAACTGAAACATATTGATATCTATTTCTGATCAATTTTGTACGGTATAAAACGACGTACATTGTTTAAAAAAAACTCACAATGACGTCTTAATATTTTTCATCATACATAAAGGTTAAATAAGGTTTCTTTTTTTTTCTCTTCTATATTACTAATTATTCTAACATTTGCTTCTATATAAAATTTATTATTAAAATAATATAAATAAAAATCTCAATATCTTATTACTTTAGATTATTATTAGAATGTAGAAAAATAATTTTTTTGGTAAACAAGTTCAATGAGTATTTTAAACGAATGTCATGTATTTCATCATATATTTACATGTGATGATTTATCCAAAAAATCTCAATGTAAAAAATTAAAATTTCAACGTGCTTTTCAATTTCTTCAATTACTTCTTCTTCAACGTGTCTATGGTATTGATGTAATAACACGTTCATCATTACAACGAAGATCAAAACGACAATTATGTCAATTTGAAGTTTTTCTAGGTGGTTCATGTAATCCAACAACATGGAGATATGAACAGGCTATACCTTATTTTCAAGCACGTTCAATATCCTATTATAATCCGCAGGTTCCTAATTGGACACCTGATTTAGTTGAAATTGAACATCGTGCAAAAGAATTAGCACCATTACTATTTTTTGTTATCGATTATAGTACAAGATCATTAGCAGCTATTGCTGAAGTATGTTATCTAGCAGCACGTCGTCGAAATATTATAACTGTTCTGAATCCAATGCCAGAAGATAGAAATCAAATAAAATTTATTCAACAGAAAAAAAATTCGAATGAAATCGATGATGAATATGATTATAAAAATGTTTGTGAAGCAAGAAGAATATTAAGAAAATTACTTCGAAGTATAAATGTACCGGTCTTTGATAATGTTAAAGTAGCATTAGAATGTGCTACATTTATACTTGAAGCTACCAAACAAACTGTGATACATTCAAATGTACTTAATGAAGATGAAAGTGAAAAAGGTAAGTTTATTCAATAGAAATTTTAAAAACATTTTTTCCCCAATTCAATATTTGAAATAGTTTCATAGTAAAATTAAATTATTTTTGTTCTAATAGATTATATCTCTAATCTTTATTAGTAATCTATACGATAAGCATTTTTTATGCATAATAAATTCGAAATAGAGTATACTTTTAAATATAAACTATCTTAGACAAATATTTTCTTCCTTTTCAACTCATGTTGTATATCATACATATATACAGATAATGATCGTCTGTTTGTAGTGATGCGTACAATTTATGAATCGCCTGAAGATTTTTATCGTCAAATGAATCAATCAGAAATGACATCAGCTTCACCAATTTTATCTGATCGAC